CCTTGCTGTCTAAGGGACTCTCAAGAGTCTTTCCTAGCACCACAATTCGAAAGCATCAATTCTTCGGTGCTTGGCCTTTTTGTGGTCCAACGCTCACATCCATAAATGACTACTGGAAAAACCATAGCTTTGTATACAGACCTTTGCAGGAAGTGATGTCTCTGCTTTTTAAAGCACTGTCTAGGTTCATTATAGCTTCCCATGGAATTCTCCAGGCAAGAGTACTGGAGTGGGTAGCCATTTCATTCTCCAGGGGATCTTCCTTACCCACGGATCGAACCTGGGTCTCCTGCACTGCCGGCGGTCTTTACCATTCAAGCCACCAGTGCCCAGGCTCAGTGATTTTGGAGCCCAACAAAAGAAAATCTCACTGCTTCCACTTGTCCACCATCTATTTGCCATGAAGTGATGGGACCAGGTGCCATGATCTTAGTTTCTTGAATGTTGAGTTTTAAGCCAACTTTTTCACTCTCCTCTCACTTTCATCAAGAGGCTCCTCTTTGCTTTCTGCCATTAAAGTGGTATCATCTTCATATCTGAGGTTGCTGATATTTCTCCCAGCAATCTTGATTCCAGCTTGTGCTTCATCCAGCCCAGCGTTTCAAATGATGTACTCTGTACAGAAGTTAAATAAGCAGGTGACAGCACACAGCCTTGATATATAGTTCGCAATATGGAACCAGTCCATTGTTCCATGTCCGGTTCTAACTCTTGCTTCTTAACCTGCATACAGATTTCTCAGGAGGCAGGTGAGATGGTATTTCTACCTCTTGAAAAATTTTCCAAGTTTTTTGTGATCCACACAGTCAAAGGCTTTAGCACTGTCAATGAAGCAGAAGTAGATGTTTTTCTGGAATTCCTTTGCTTTTTCTATGATCCAACAAATGTTGGCAATTTGATCTCTGGTTCCTCTGCTTTTTCTAAATCTAGCTTGGACATGTGGAAGTTCTCAGTTTACATACAACTAAAGCCTAGCTTGAAGGATTTTGAGCATTACCTTGCTGGCATGTAAAATGAGCACAACTATATGGTAGTTTGAGCATTCTTTGGCATTAACCTTTCTTTGGGATTGGAATGAAAACTGACCTTTTCCAGCCCTGTGGCCACTGCTGAGTTTTCCAAATTTGCTGACATATTGAGTGCAGCACTTTCACAGCATCGTCTTTCAGGATTTGAAATAGCTCAACTGGAATTCCATCACCTCCACTAGCTTTGTTTGTAGAGATACTTTCTAAGGCCCACTTGATTTCACATTCCAGGATGTCTGGCTCTAGGTGAGTGATCACACCACTGTGCTTATCTGGGTCGTGAAGATCTTTTTGTATAGCTCTTCTGTGTATTCTTACCACCTCTTCTTGATCTCCTCTGCTTCTGTTAGGTCCATATTGTTAATGTTCTTTATTGTGCCCATCCTTGCACGAACTGTTCCCCTGGTATCTCGAGTTTTCTTGAGGAGATCTCTAGTCTTTCCCATTCTACTGCTTTCTTCTATTTCTGTCCACTGATCACTGAGGAAGGCTTTCTTATCTCTCCTTGCTCTTCTCTGGAACTCTGCAGTCAGTTGGATGTATCTTTCCCTTTCACCCTTGCCTTTCGCTTCTCTTCTCAGCTATTTGTAAGGCCTCCTCAGACAACCACTTTGCCTTTCTGCATTTCTTTCCCTTTGGGATGGTTTTCGTCAGCACCTCCTGTACCATGTCACAAAGCTCCATCCATAGTTATTCAGGCACTCTATCAGATCTAATCCCTTGAATCTATCTCTCACTTACACTATGTAATCACAGAAATTTGATTTATGTCATACCTGAGCAGACTAGTGGTTTTCCCCACTTTAAGTGGGGAAATTTAAGTCTTCAATTTAAGTCTGAATGTTGCAATAAGGAGTTGATGATCTAAGCCATGGTCTGCTCCAGGTCTTATTTTTGCTGACTGTTAGAGAACTTCTCCATCTTCGGCTGCTAAGAATATAATCAATCTGATTTTGGTATTGACCATCTGGTGATGTCCATGTGTAGAGTCATCTCTTGTGTTGTTGGAAGAGGGTGTTTCTACAACCTGCGTGTTCTCTTGACAAAACTCTGTTAGCCTTTGCCCTGCTTCATTTTGTATTCCAAGGCCAAACTTGCCTGTTAATCCAGGTATCTCTTAATTTCCCACTTTTGCGTTCCAATCCTCTATGATGAAAAAGGCATCTTTATTTGGTGTTAGTTCTAGAAGGTCTTGTAGGTCTTCATAGAACTGTTTAACTTCAGCTTCTTCAGCATTACTGGTTGGGGCACAGATCTGAATTACTGTGATGTTGAATGATCTGCCTTGGAAATGAACAGAAATCATTCTGTCGTTTTTGAGATTGCACCCGAGTACTGCACTTCAGACTACTGTTGACTATTAGGGCCACACCATTTCTTCTAAGGGATGCTTGCCCACAGTAGTAGATAGAATGGTCATCTGAATTAAATTCACCCATTCTGGTCCATTTTAGTTCCCTGATTCCTAAGATGTCAGTGTCCTCTCTTGCCATCTCCGGCTTGACCACATCCAATCCAGCTCGATTCGCGGACCTAACATCCCATGCTCCTAGGCCACATTGTTGTTTACAGCACTGGAGCTTCACCACAAGACACACCCACACCTGGGCGTCGTTTCTGCTTTGGCCCCTTCGCTAGTAACGGCCTCCATTCTTCCCTAGTAGCATATCGGACACCTTCCTGCCTGGGGGGCTCATCTTCTGGGGTCACGTCTTTTTACCTTTTCATACTGCTCATGGGGTCCTCAAGGCAAGAATACCTTCCTCCAGGTAACCACGTTTAGTCAGAACTCTGCACTGTGACCTGTTTGTCTACACGGCCTGGCTCAAAGAGCTTCATTGAGTTACACAAGCCCCTTTGCCCTGACAAGGCTGTGATCCATGAAGAAAAAGCACTAAAATCATTAGTTTGAGATGTTTGTTTTTGTGATTATTTAGTAATCTTTTGTTGTGCAACTACTTTTTCTCTCTCCCAAGCAAAAACTGGTGTAATCTTGTTGTTGAGTCTCTGAGTCTGACTCTTTGCAACCCCATGGACTGTAGCTCTCCAGGCTCTTCTGTCCGTGGGATTTCTGAGGCAAGAATACTGGAGTTGGTTGCCGTTTGCTTCTCCAGCTAATCTTCCCCACTCAGGGATTGAACCAGCACCTCCTGCACTGTGGGTGGATTCTTCCCTGCTGAGCCAGCAAGGAAACCCAAGGCTTCTCTCCTGACCTCTTTGGAACAAGTCTCAGAGGTACCCGAAAGGCTGCCATCCTAGGCTAAGTGAGTCTGCCAAATAAAACATACTTCTCAACTTTTAGGCTGTGCAGATTTTTTTCAGTTGACACTTGCCTCAGGGAATGCTTCCAGAGCACTTGAGTTGGGAGCCTTGAGGACTGGATTGGAGGTGGGGAGGTGCGTTAGGGTATTGGTGTGGTGCGGGGCGTTAGCTGTGGATCCTCGGAGGTGCCTGGACTCCTGTTGCCATTGTAGGAGAGCAGGGGAGCTGGGCTGAAGACACATAAAGCAGATGGGACCATCAAGGCAGAGCCCAGAGGACCCAGTGCAGGAGTGGTGGCTGAGAGGTCCGGTCGGACCTGGGGCCTGGGGTCTTTTGGATCCTCCCACTCCAAGCCCCAGCAGCATCCCCCAGGTCAGGCTTGGGTGAGGAGTTAATTGTCCCCCCACCCCCACCCCGCCGTGTGCAACCCAGGATGAGGACTTATGTTTTTGGAGGTGTGGTCCCCTCTACCTGTGAGCTAGCCAGCCTTAGATTCTGGAGGCTAGGGTTGGGTAGGGTTCTCTTTCGTAGGGGGGCTTCCCTGGTGGCTCAGAGGGTCAAGAATCTGCCTAAAATGCAAAAGACCTGGGTTCAATCCCTGCACCGGGGAGATCTCCTGGAGAAGGAAATGGCAACCCACCCCAGTATTCTTGCCTGGGGAATCCATGGACAGAAGAGCCTGTCGGGCTACAGTCCATGGGGTCGGGTCGCAAAGAGTCAGACAGGCCTAGCTGTCTCCCCACCCCCACCCCCACGGTCTCCCCGCAGGGGACGTGCAGGAGAGTGGAGAGTTGGTGGAGGGTATTTCTAGAAGGACAAAGGTGCGACTTAGAGAAAGCAGTATAGATCCTGAGACCCCTCCCTTGGCGTGGGGCTCAGCCCTTGCTAGGTATGCCAGCCTAGAGGGGGTGCGTGCCCCGCACCGACCCCCACGCCCCCGCAGGCTCTAGGTTCCCTCCCCTCGTGGGCACCGTGGCGTCTGGATAAAGGCGGTTTCCTTTGGGATGTGGTCGCCACGGGAGGGTGGCAGTCTTGGACCCAGGTCGGAACCACAGGCGGTCCCACTGCGGCCGCCCCTGGGATGTGTGGCCGCCGGACGGCTGATGAAGGGACAGCGGCACGCGTGCCCGTGCGTGACTGTGCCCGTGGCGTCTGCCCTACAGACTCGCGGGGCCGCGCGGCCCTGGGTGCAGGCGGCGGACGGCCGCACGGAGGGGCCGCCGCGCAACAGCGTGGGTGCAGGTGGCGGGGGCGCACGTGCGCCACCCAAACAAAGGCGACGTCGCGTGACCGCGCTCGTTCTCGCGCGCGGACTCGCCAGGGCAGGCGCGCCCCCGCGGGACCGCCGCGCCAGGGCGGGAGGGGAGAGCCAAGGCCGTGCAAGGGGGCGCGGCTCCTTTAAGGCGCGGCGCGGGGCGGGGCTAGCCGTCTCAGGTCTTGGGGCGGGGCGACGCGGGGCGGGGCGACGCGGGGCGGGGCTTTGGGCGGGGCGGCGGCTGCGCAGGCCGGGCCGGGGGCGCGCAGACTCCGCGCAGTGGGACGCGAGCGCGCGACCTGGCGCCGCCGCCGCCGCCGCCGCCTCCGCGCTCGTGGCCCGGACCAGCGGGCCGCCGCCTCCTCCGGGCTCCCCGGCGCCGCTCGGCTCCCGCGCGGGCGGCAGGTGCAGCGCGGCCGGGCGGCTGGCGAGGGGGGCGCCGAGGCGGCGGGTGGATGAGAGGTGGCCCCGATCTCCGCGCAGGGTAAGCGGCGCGCGCGCGCGGACGCCCACTCGCTGGACACGCAGACCCGTTCGGGGGCTGGCCGGCCCTTAGCCAGGCCGTGCCCTCCCCGCGCCCGCAGCAGCGGCCCTCCGAGCCAGGACCCGCGCGGGCGCGCCCCGCATACACGCCCCCGGGTCCCGCGCGGCCTGGGCGCGCGTCACGGCCATCCCCCGCCCGCGCGCGCGGGCCCCGGCGTCTCCGGGTCCACGTCGTGCCCTGCCGGCCGGGGAGAGGAGGACGTCCCGTGGGCGCGAAGCCTGAGATGGGAGGGTGGTTGGTGGGGCGCAGGTCCCCGGGTCCAGGCTGGGGCGCGGGTGGGCGCGGTGAATGTCGTCTTAGGAACTCACTCCTGGGGGACACAGGAGAGGTGGAGGGCGACCCCGGCCCCTATGCCCCTTGAGATGACCCCGCCAAAAAGTTGCCCTCCCCGCACCCCTCGATTTGCCCCGTCTCCTTTCCTTTTGTTCCGGACTTTTAGCTGGTGGGGCTCTGCTGGGGCCCAGCCTCGCTGGGAGGTGAGGCGTAAGGCAGCAGTCCCCGGCGTGGGCGCCCCCTGCCTGGGGCAGGCCCTGCATCCCTGGGCAGGCCTACCACCAGGTGGGCTGGGGCACCTGTCCGTCCGGGAGCTGGGCCCCGGGCCCTGGACCTGAGGCTTACCGGCTGGAAGCAGAGCCCGCTCTGGGGGTGTTGCCAGCCCTACATTTCCGGAGGCGGGGAGGATTTGGTTTGGGCGACACCTTTTGCAGCGCCGGGTTCCTTTCTTGCCTTCCTAGTTCTGTGCATCCCCCCATCCCCCACAAGAATGGAGGTGCCTGGGCTCCAGCCCCCATCGCAGCCCCGCCTTAGGGCTTGTCTCAGGCCTGGGCCCGGCTGGATGAGCAGGGCTGTGCAGCAGTTGAGAGAGAAGTTTGGGGTCTTGTCTGCATGGCATCTGCTCAGTGACCTTGGGCGGAAGGCCTTGAGCCATCCCTTGCCTCAGTTTCCCCAGCAGTAAGCGGAGAGGGGGCTGACGAGAGCATTAGATGGCATAGCCCCCACCCCGCTCCCTGACTGGATACACCCAGGGCAGAGATCCCAACACCAGGAGAGGCCGCGGTGCCCTCCCTTCCAGGTGGCTGTTGTTACCCTGACTCTGCCCGTGTGTCCCAGGCCCATTTGGGGACACAGAGTTCGGCTGGGTGAATGTGTTCCTGGTGTTTGCCCTTGTCCCCTGCTAGGATGAAACCACAGTCTCACAACAGTTAGCTGGGACCCCTGGGATCAGAGACCTGGGTAAACCTGCCACTCCTTTCTGCTGCCGCCCCTCTGAAGACTCCCTGCTGGTCCAGGTCGGGGCCTGGCCTTCCTGATCTTCCCTCTGCCCTCGGCCCTGATGTTGCTGCTTCTGCAGCACTGTGCTCGTGGGCAGGGTTCTTGACCCGTGGTCTGGACATTGCTGGACTCATGGGGGCGGGGTGTGCCAGCTTGGTCCTGGGGCCTGGGGAGGTGGGTTCTCCCCCCCCCACCCTGGGGCATCTACGTGGGTGCCTCCCCTCCTCTGCCCTTCTCTCCGCTGGGCTGCTGTGGCTGATGGGCTGCGGGGTGTGGCCGTCCCAGTGATGTGGCCTGGGGATGGGCAGGGCCTGTCCCCATGCTGTCTGTCTGCCCACGCTCGGGAGAGGCATTTCCTGGAAGTGGCACAGGGAAGTCTCCGCATGTGTCCTGTGTGATCCTGGCCCCCCTGAGCCTGCATCTCCCACCAAGGCAGGCAGGGGCCCTCTGTGAGAGGAGAACCTGCTGGTCTCTCCAAGCCACTGGCCCGTGAGGCGCTCCTCTCACCTCTCCAGCCAGGGCGGGCATCAAGAAGCCGATGGTCGCCAGCTCCGTGTGGTCTCTGCTTCCCCTGCCCTCTGGGGCCTCACCCTCGCCAGCCAGAAACAAGGAGCACTGGGCGCGTTTTTCCTGAATCACCGTTTCTTGCTGTCTGATGGAATGAATAGTGGCTTGGGCACGATGAGCACAGTGTTATTAGGTTCTAGTGAGAGTGCTGTCGCCAGGGGAGGCCGCAAGCCCGAAGTGCGCTTCCTCTTTGTATCCGAGTATCTGAGCGATGTTACGGGTGACGGATCCCAGCGCCAGGCCCAGCTCGCATCTCGTAACTCAGTGTCACCCGAGAAGCGCAGGGCTCCCCTTGATGTTTCCAGGGTCTGACCTGTGTAGGTGGCTCTGAGCACCCGCAGGTGGGTGGACGGCGACACCTGTCTGTCTCCGGTCATTTTGTGGGCGGCAGGGGGCCCCTTCCGGCTCCCCACACGTCTCAGTTTGGGAGTTCCCTCCTGAAGCCGACTGCGCTCGACCTTTGCGCGGGGGTGGGGTTCCCATTGTGGAGCGGTGTGCCTCCAGCCAGGCCCTCATTTCTGGGGGCCGCGCCCTCTCGGGGACCTGGGCTGATCACCCTTCTCACAGGGCTTTTGGGGTTTGAGCCCTTGTGTGAGGCCGGATGGCGGGCTTCTGTGGAGTTGGCGCGCTGAGGCCTCGCTGAGCGCCTAGGGAGTTCTGGTCTGCAGAGGGCATGCACCCGCTGGAAGGGAAGACCCCGTGGGGGCCGGGTGACCGGCCTGTCCCCTTTCCTGTGAGATGGGCGGGGGGCTCCTCACTTGCCGTCCGCAGGAAGGAGACAATCTTAGAAGCCTAGTACAGGGTTGCTCCCCAGCGGGGCTGCGGACAGCCTTGGGGTGTGTAGCAGAGCCTTCCAGTTCTTAAAGAATTTAAAAAGGAATCGGGCGGTAATGAGACGTGGGCTGTGAAGGTGATGACAAGGAGGATTACGGACGCTCTGGCCCGGGGGGAGCAGCTTCTGTTTATGAGCCCAGACCTGCGGTGTGGCCACTCAGGTGGTGCTCGCAAGGCCTTTGGTTGGGGACCTGAAAGCTGGCTTGGGGGCCTGGGGCACCGCAGAGGGTCGAGGTCTGAGTTCTCCTCAGCTTTTGGGTGGTATGGCAGCGGCGGCTCTCCTTGGGTCTTTATCCTGGGCAGAATCCAGAAAACGCCCTCGTATCGGGGGTGAGAGTTCAGTCGCAGGCCGCTGGGCAAGGAGGAGGCCCGGGTCCCTGCTGGGGAGGCTCGCTTCATGACTAGGGTGGCGAAGGCCCAGCCAGCCTGGCGGAGGGGCGGCCTGGCCGTCGGCTCGGAGCTGGTCACCGTCGGAGAGAGGCGATCGGTTCACTTGAGAACTTAAAGGCAGGCCGTCCGACTTCTCTTACAGACGGAGATGGAGCAAGAAAGGGAGGGTTTCCCTAATTAGAGAAAACCGTGTTCTCCGCGCCTCTGGCGTCCGCGAGTGGACTGAACTGAGGGGCCGGGCGGTGGCTCGGGACTGTAATTCACCACTAATGACAGTTGCCGTCTCGGGGCTCTCGTTAAGACTGTTTGGCCTTTGAGTTATAATCAGGGTTGTGACTGTGTTTAAGCCCTGTGATTAAAGTCCCCAGCGGTTACACCGGCAGACAGGAAGTACTGGCCTGTCCGAAAAAAAAAAGAAAGGTAACAGAAATCACTCAGTTCAGCGTCAGACGATGTTGTGCACAGTGTGTTTCGCCCACTGCCCGTGTGGTTCTCACAGCCTGGCTCTCACCCTTCCCGCAGATGCAGAGACAGGTCCGGAGAGGCGGGCGGCTGGCCTCAGCCCGCAGTGAGCTAGGTGGCTCAGCCAGGACGGTAACTCGGGTTGTGTGACTATCGTGGCTGCACTCTTGATGATCAGTGGACTTTCTGGCGGTTTGTGAAGGAAACATAAGGAGTAAGTCTACGGTCACGTTGAGAAGCCTCTCTGCCTTCGCAGGTGCGCTAATAGCAAGTGCATCTCTTATCCCAGGCCTGATCGTGTTCCCTGCACTTTACATGATTGATTTCCATAACAGCTGGAGCTTGGGGCTGTTATTAGCTCCCCCTTACAGATGAGGCAGCCTGGGCACAGAGAGGTTAAGTAACTTCCCTGAGGCCACACGCTGGTGAGCGGCAGAGTTGGGTCAAGTGGGGAAAACGCCTGGTCTGTCGCTGTGTGTTCTTGGGCAAGATGTTTAACCTCTCTGGGCCTCGGGAAACAGGGGTCTTGGTGTGGAATACAGAAACCGGAAGCCCGAAAACTGGCCCTGGCCCAAGCTGGCAGCATCTGCACTGCCTCCTCCAGGAAGGCCCTGGGTGGGAGCCCCAGCCGTTGCTGTTTCCCCCAGGAGGAGGGTCGTGGTTACCGAGGGCAGCGCACCCCCTCCCCAGCACTGGCTGGTTTGGGTGGAGCACCCCTGGTTGTCCCCTGGGAGCTCAGACCACACCCCAGCAGCAACACCTGACGCCAGGCCTGGGCAGTTCCCTCTGTGAAGCGGGGAGGCCTGCAGAGAGCCTGGCTCTGTCCCTCGGGAATGGATTTTGGGGGGAAGGCATGCCTACCCAGAACCTCCCGGTGCTGCCAGACCCAGTTTGGGAGAACCAAGTGTGCCCGCACCATCAGGGCTGGGTTGTCTGGAGGCCCCCGGGGAAACACTGACCCCTCTGTGATCAGGTCCCCCCCTTGGTGGGAAGCGCCGTTGCCTCCAGCCCTTCCTGTGGGCAGGGGGTGGGGTACATGGCACAGGGAGGCAGAAGGCCCCCTAGTTCCCCGGCGTGGAGTGCAGGGTGGGCACACGTGAGCCCAGCCCTGGGTCCCAGAGGCCCAGCCTCCCTCTCCAGCCCTCCCCCTTCCACCTCGGTCGATGGGCGCCGCCTACAGGGCTGTTGGCACGGCAGACCCTTGCGTTGGGCACATCTCTGCTCCACCCCGCCTTGCTGGGGAGGCCTTCCCTGGACACCCTGACCACAGAGCCCCCCTCACTTGCTGCCCCCTCCCTGGCCAGCCGTTGTCCTTCTCCCAGGAGGCAGGGGCTGGCTCCCCCGCCTGTCCTGTTCTCAGCAGCCAGGGTAGGACTGGGTGGAGGCGCCCCTTGCAATGAGCTGAGGCCATGGCC